TTGAATAAATTGCAGTTGCAAGCATTCTAATATTTACCAATACAAACTGAACAATTTTGTAATCTATTTTGTAATCTAGCCTGGAGCTTGAAGCAATTTAGTTTGCTTTACTCTGCGAAATATTTATATAATATACATTTTGCTAATCATATCAATAAACCAGGTTAGCTGCAGAAAGATTTAAAAGAATTTATATTTAATAAAAAAAAAAAAAAATTTAATAAATAAGAACAAAATGAATTTAAGGATGAATTCAAATTGAGATTTAAAATTATATTTTATATATTTTTGCTAAAAAACAAAATGAGTATATATATAACTTAAAATAAAAATATGTACACGTATAAATATATATATGTATGCATATACAAAATAATAAAAAGTAAATCACGTCATAGACATCAAAATCAATTTAATTTACCCAAACCAATTTAATTCAAATCGCTTACTAATTAATTCAGTTCAACTCTAAGCTTGATTCACTTTTATACCTTAAGCTCATTCAGACTCATCTGACCTCAAGTAAAAGTTAATGGAAACAGTTTAGGTTTTATATATCGAGCCAACCTAAAGTTGGCAGCTTAATTAGAAACTTGTTAACCAATTTAATACTTACAGGCTGCAAGCGATATTATTTGAAACAATTACTATTCTATTACATGAGCATTACATTAGTTAACTTATCAAATTGCTTTAATATGGTCAGGCTTAAAAGAAGTAATCCAATAACACCAACTTGGGTAACTTTCTCTGCTGGCAGTTTGTCGAATTTGCAATTATCAGTTCGTTGGTTCGTTGGGCCACAGGTCGTGCGGCTGGAGGGTAGTCTGTGGGTGCATGGCATTGGCATGATCTCATTTCGGATGGTAAATCAGGACCAGCAATTGGTGACGCGTGTCCTCGGCTTGTTGACATGGCATTGACCAGGCAGCCATATGAGCCGTAACCCCCCCAGGCCAGTCCTGTCTAACGATTGCTCGGCAGTCTGATAACAGAGTTTGGTAGGCGCAGTTGGTAGACGTGGGTGATGTGGGCGGCGTGGGCGTGCTCGTTGATTTTCGCATTTCATAAGCCGACGGCCAAATCATTATGCATGCCTTTGATGGCGGCCGTCAGGAGCTGGGCTCAAAGAATTACGTTCATTAATTTTGCCAGTGGAGGTCGCAGCATCGCCAGCGTAACAGAACTTGGCCGCAGTCCATTGCCCCACAGTCGGCGAGGCCCTTGAATTAATTTATCTTATCGTCCGTTGCATTTGGGCGTCCTCATGCATTGTTGACGTTCAAGTTCCACTTATCAACGGCACACCGACAGCAACAGCGGCAACTGAGGCCCATGGCTGGGTATCAACCTGATCTCATCAGCCTCAGCATCAGCATCAGCATCCGCATCGCCATGGCCATCGCCAGTGCCACCATCATTATGTGCCTGCTGATGATGATCATCATGAGCTTCATTTGGGCGCATTCATTTTTATGACATGCGCTTTTCGCGCAACCCGTTTTTCTGGCCCATTTGACGCTCAAGTGGGCGTCGGCCGGCAAAAAGTGTTGCATACTTAAGTGAGCTAAAATTCAATTTGCTGTTGTTCCTTTAAGTTGGCTCTGCTTGTTCGCTTCGCCAGCTTCGCCAGCTTCACCAGCCTCGCATGCCCCACAGTGCGGCAAGTCAATTATTTTGTTGTTTAGCAAATTGCTACACATTCAGGCGTAGTGCAGACCTCATCGACGTCGTCGTCGTTGTTGTTGTTGTTGTTGTTGTTGTTGATATATTGTCTAACTTTGTAGTACTTATAAGCTACTGCTACGCCTGCCTCAACATCATCATCATCAGCAGCAGCAGAAGCCGCACCAGCACAAGCGCCAGCTTTAGTGTGGACTTTAGTAAAGTTTCCTAGCTTCCCTGAACTTCACTGTTATGAGATTTGCTCGCTCGTGCTCTGATATGCAAAGATATTGCACAACTCTATAAGCATATGATAATGTTCAGTATTTTATTAGCACACTATGCAAATATTTCGTTCATTTAATTCGCTGCTTGAAGAGAATTTCTATAGGTCTGACCAGCAAGCCTTTGAGTTAATCAAAACGGGCGTGTAACAAGCTTTCTCATTTCTGGCAGAATGGTCAACAGTTACAACATCTACAAGGCTCGACCTGGCCCACACAAACACACACACACATGCACATATATATGTATATACACCCACTCGTACAAGCACATAGCTTGTACCAACAAGGCTGCTGCCACCACAGCAGCGACATGGAGAGAAGCTCGACCCAAATATCATTTAACACGCGTGTAAACAAAATCGCTTAAATACATGTGCCCAAACAGAACCGAGAGCCGTGAACCCAGAAACGAGAAGCGAGAAGCGAAAACCGACAGCCGGGAACGCCCTTAAGCAAACAGGCCAGTTGGCCACAGAGGCGATGGCCAAAAGCTGTGGGCCGCACTGAAAGTGAAATGTGAAAGCGAATCGGTGGCAGAGTATTCCACCTAGACTGTGTATCTGTGTGCGTGTGTGTGTGTGTGTGTGTTGGCCAAGTAATGCAACCAGCATCAGGATATTCTTCCCCCCTATGTAGACAATGCTGTGTGTCAGTAATTGATGACTGAATTGGGTCATCATAACAAACGGTAAGAATTTGCTGTAGATGCACAAATCTCCAATTTCTAATCAAACTTATGTGAATAATTAAGGTTAAGGAACCGGAAATTACCTACTTGTCGGGGCGACTGCGTTAATGCTGATGTAGATATAGGGGGATAGAAAAATATGTAAACTATCTCGATTCAGTTTACTTATGTGGAAGTAAGCGTGGATCCATGAAATTGCCGTAGTTTCTCTGAACTCTAAACCAAATTTGGCAATAGCTGCAGTGCACTCGGAACATGGCCGGAATAGAAGAGCCAACAATGAAATTCAAATTATATTTGGAATGCGAATCCGAATTTGGGAGGGAAGTAGAAAAACAATTGAGCAATAAACCAGCTGAAATGTTCGATTAACCAGCGGGTGAGTGACGATTCAAACCGAAATTCATGGCATATGCTCAGTCACTGGCCAAAAGCAAATAAAGCCTGAACTCTCATGGCAATGGCTGGCACGCTTTGTCGACGCACTTGACCCAGTTTATTTGTTTTATATTGGGCTTTTTGGTTAAACAACTTGGGCAGAAACTAAATACGACTATGCGCAGCAATTGCTGGAGCTCAATGGTTCATTGTTTTGTCTGGATGTTATGGCTGTTAATAATTAAATGCAGTTTACGCTGCGCACAACTATCTTGAAATTTGATGTAAATTCCATTTGAAAGTATAATCAAAATGCCAGCAGCCAAGTGGGCGCCTAGGATACAAAAAAAAAAAAAAAAATTAAATAAAAATTATTTCTCGAGCACTTGAACAGATGCTGCTGCTTGCTCTGCTTTTATTTCTATAAACACAACAACAGCAACAACAACAGCAACAAAAATACGCTTGTCCATCTCTCCGCCGCTTCGGGGATTTCTTCACTTCGCGTAGCATTCGCTGCCCATCAGCTCGGCTGTACGTCTGTCCGCTCGTCTGCCAGTCTGTCGTTTGGCCTGAGCTGCTTCGATGCAAATGCTTGTGGCAGCGCCCATTGCCGGATTCGCAGTCACAGTTTTGCCCAATGCAGAAGCTATTTCCTCTGCAGCCGCCATTTTATTCAGCTTGTGTTTCTGCCTCTTCGCTGCCTCTGCCTCTGCTGCTGCCGCTGCCGCTGCCACTCGAATACTTTGCACTTTGCACATGGCCTGCATAATGAATGGATCGCACTGGAGCTGGAGCTGGAGCTCGAGACGCAGCCCTTGCTGTTGTTGGCCGCTGAATTCAGTTTGAATTTTCCTTAGTTCTTAAGAGTTTTCATTTGCAATTACAATGCACAATAAAAGCACAATTTGCGGCCATTTTGCGTTCTGGATAGTTCCAAATGATATTGGGCAAGGGGAATGCGTTGCACAGCTATGCGGAAGCTAAAATTTAACATCATTAGAAAGACATTTATACTTCAATAATTCACATAATTATTGTTATCGAAGAGCATTTGACTCGATGCCAAAATTTTGCCATTTTCGACTGTTGATTCAGTTTTAAAGGACAAATGGCATAATTGTTACACTGCTTTAATTGTTAGCAAGCTTTAGCTTAAGACTTTCCAAGTCCTCCGACATGACCTCGCCTATTTATTTTTCCAATTTGAAAAACACAAAATAGCTGCATTTATTTCCTATCTCAACACTTGAAGCCTTCGTGGTGACTTATTGCTACATTTAGTCTATGTGTGTCTCCATTGTTGCTTTGTAGCAGCTGTTCACAATGGCAATGCACAACTTCCGACAGGCGGCAGCAGCGGAAATGCTAGATAAAAGCTACTTGCGGTAGGCATTGTCCGATTCCGAAGGATGCAGCTGGACGGCGTCCTGTGCCAAAGGACAACACTGGCAACACTGGCTGACACAGCTATTAATTCAAGTGGGCGAGTGGAAGCGCCGCAAGGATCCGCATTATATTCTCAATGTGTTTAGCAACACTTAGTGAAGATATAGCTGATATTTAATACATTCTTCAGATTAATTGTATTTAATTTAAAATACAAAATTAAGTTAAGTTTCTTAATAGAAAAATTAAATGTAAAGTAAGGTATGCTGACAACTTACACTCTATAGTTTATTATTATTTTGTACTATTGTAACAGCTGCAAGCTAATCATACCTAGCAAAAATAAAATATTATATATATTTGATAGTATTATTTATTTACTAATTTTATTTTATTTTTTTTTAACTGCAAGCCAAGTAAAAAAAATGTAAATTAAAAAAATATTTATTAAAAATGTAATTAAATTTTTTTAGATTTATTTATGTACTAACTTAATTTATTTTGTAGTTATTTACTAATATAATTTATATCTTAATTTAATTTAATTTAATTTTTTGAATCTTTTTTTCAGTAATTAATAGATTTTGTGGCACTGTTATTTTCATTTAAATTTAAATGTAAATCTCTAATTTAAAATTATAAATGTATTCAAATTGTAATCGTCTTCTCAACATCAGCAAGCTAAGTTGTCAACACTTCACACATTCCATCAATCGCTACAGACGTTACACAGAGAAATCGCTCATACGGCCCGTGAGCCCTGCCGCAAAGCAATCATCAAATCGCATTTGCAGTTGCGCAGCGCGCGTTTATGGCTTCAAATTTACACAATTCCGCGATTGCTGCGTGGACTTGCGGCGTTAGCTGCTTGCATAACGTGGCTCGTGCAGGTGAATTGGCTGCTGCGTGAGGCCAACTTTAAAATGGCCTTAAAGTGCGCGGCAGATGTGACAGATTTGCCACATGTAAATTTGAGTAAATTATGAGCGTGGCGTGCCCATCTGCATGTCAAGCAGCAGCAACCTTTTGCCGTTTTGGTTATGTGTTGCTGTCCCTTTGTCCTTTGTCCGCCCGGTTATCAGTCAGCGTCCTGCTGAACACTAAATTACAGGCAAATGAGCAGCTGCCATTATTTATGCCGTTGTGTTTTGCTTTTCTTATCAACATAATAAACGTTTGTGCATGGCAAACCAAAGGCCAAGTTCATTGTGCTATGTCATTCACTCTTTCCTCCTCTCCTTCTCTCTTTCTCTCTCTCTCGCTCTCTCCCTCTCGCGCTCTCTCGCTTTCTCTGTGTGTCAAGGGCATCCGTTGACTGGCTGACTGCTCCCTGGTCACATCCGCAGACGTGTGTGCCCAACGACTGACCTAACTAATTTTATGCCCATTTGCAGTGTGCTGCCAAGTTCTTTTTACATTTTCAGGCAGCGGCAGCGGCAGCAGCAGCGGCAGCCTCTAAAGAAATGTGTTAACTTTATCTAAATTGTTAAAGCATTTACCAAATGACCTCACGTACCGAAATTTCGGCATCCTGACCGCAGCCCGCTTCCAGCTCAGTATTTTGTGACCCAAGTTTCGGACAAGATGAGCGTGTAGGATGCCTATCGCTCGATCGCCTGGCGGAAGGTCCTGCGTCAACGTCCTGCGCTCTGCGTCCTATGTTATGTGTCCTATGTCCTGTTCCCAGTGTCCTAGTCGCACTCGCACACATGACTGTTTCAGTCTTCCTGCGACGTGAGCCCCCTTCTTCGGGCTCGTTCGCATTCGTATGAGTTGTTTCGCTGAGACGGCTGCAGTTCATTTATTTAGTTGTCGGTTTTCCTCTTTTCACTGCTGTCTACGTTTTATTGGTTCGCCAACATGTTCTTTATGGCATTTTGATGCACGCTGCAAGGGGGCGGGCAACCCTTCTTATATATGTAGATGTATATTCTTTTTTGGCACTCTGACGTTTATTATGCTTGTTTTGTCGAGCAGCACGTCGTCTGCGTATTAAGTACATGCGCCCTTTGACGTCGACTGTCAGTCAAATTGCCAGCGCTTTAACAAATTTAAATGCCCCAACAAAAAGGGCTTAGGGTTGCCAACAGAGTCAGCCCAGCCAACCAGAGGCAGCCAGGGGTTAGATCGCAAACAAACGCAGCTCGTGTGTAAGCACATTTGTACATTTATTTGTGTATTCGAATTCCCTTAGCTAGCTCATCCTACAACATTTTCCGCTATACAATTTAATTCCCAAAACCTATTCCATTCTATTTTAATACTAAATACACATTAAGTAAGCCGCTAAGAGCTCACGAGCTTGACGTTTTTCACAATATTTTAATGAAAATATATGAATATTAAAATACCAATGAATCAAATTTTATGTGAATTTTGTCAGCAGCGAATGCAACAATATTGATTTATAAATTTAATGAAAGCTGAATTAATACGAATATATTCGTTTATGCTTTTCATATGAATATCTAAGAGGTTTTGAGCATAAAAAAATCAAATATGAAAATTTTGAAACTATTTAAAAAGAGTGTTAAATGGGCGCATTGTCAAAGTGCCATATACATCACAGCCAACCCCTGATTTATCATAGAAATTCTTTATACTTGGATACTTTATGAAAAAGGTATATAAAAATACTTCCATAAAAAGTAGGAAGTGTTAGTTGTGTTTGTCAAGCAGACATTTTAGAGTCTACTCAGGCATCTTATTAGATTCAGGCTATTAGACAGACTGAAAGCATAAAGGACTCCCTTTCACCCCTTCAATATTCATATTGTGTGAATGATGAAAGTTTTATATATTATTTTTATAATGGATGCTCTTTAGAAAATACTTTTTTTTTTCTCTCTCTCTCTGTGTTATATTCTGCATTGTTATCTTTTTGAAGCGAACTCAGTTGTTACCTGACGTGATGGAACACATACACATATACATACACACACAGACATACAAAGTCAACACGCGCATTTTTTGACACAAAAATATGCAAATTTCAGTTTGAATAAAGTCGAAATCTGATTTGCTAGTTAGTTACGTGTGTGTTTGTGTGTTCAGCTGTGTGCTTATGGCCAATGAAAAATGATGCTCTGCATGTTCACAAGCTAACTAAATAAATTCGAAATAGGCCTTTGCCCTTAAACAAACTTTAGTCAAAAAAAAAAAAAAAACTGTGCAAATAGTTGGAATTTCATTCGTGTTTTGAATTCATTTTAGCTCTAATTCCTTTTGATAATTTTTTTCAGTCTAATTCCGAATGTGTGCCTGAAAGTCTCAGTTTGTGTCTGTGTGTGAAAGTGTGTGTGGGTGTGTGTATTTGTTACTCTTTCATGTTGGCTTCTGTGCAAAGCATTAACAAAAGGTTTCGTTCTGCGTCCGAAAGTATGTTATAAAAATATTTTATGACATGTAAAAACATCAATAAAAAGGTTTCAGCCCACATCCCTTGCAAGTGGGCAAGTTTGAGCGTGTTTTTGTGGATGTTGCTGTGGTTGATGTTTCCCGCCTCCGTTTATTGCCCCGGTTGCTATTGTTGCCGTTGTGTTGCTGTTGTTGCTGTTGTTGCTGTTGTTGCTGCTGCGGTCGCGCTTTATCCCTTGCCAGTCTCATTATTCATTTCGTTTTTGGGTTATGCTTCATGGCATTTGTTGTTTCGCTTTTCTTTTATTTATTGTAATGATTTTCTTTTTTCCTCTGTTTCGCTGGCCTTTCGGATGCCGTTTTACGGGAAATTACATTTAAGTACGTGTTAGAATTGACGCCATAACAGGTTGTAAATAAAATTGTATTACATTTGACTTCATTTCAAATGTACATACATCTGGCTTGATGTATTCTGGCCAGAGCTCGCGATCGCAATGGCCAAAAATATGGCCAATGGAAACTTGAATGCAGTTAGTTTTGTTCACATTTGAAATTGTATTAATCCAAAATGCTTATTTATTAGTGATTTTGCCCAAGTTTGTTTTTATAAATAATAAAAATATTAATTTAAAAACATTTTTTTTTTTATTTAATATAGAGATCCAAGTACAAAATAAATATAACAAAATAATATATGTAAATTTAATATATAATAAAATATATATGATAAATGATATATGTATATATCATATACATATATAACTTTCTGAATGACCTTAAGAAACGTGTAATCTCATCAAAATAGCATTGACAATGATGGAAATGCATTTTTGATATAATATTAAATCAAACAAAAAACAGGTACCGCATTTTCATTGGACTCTGACTCCTGGCTCGCTTGCATTATAATGTAACTTTAATGCAAAGTTCTGACAGATTCATCAGGATTATCCACGCAGTCCCACAAGAGAGATGAGCGAGCAAAAACGCAAATATTTCAGCCGCACATGTAATTAATCAGATTTTTCAGTGGACTGCTGTGCAAATGCAAAGCGAAGCTCGTTAAAAGTTTGAAAATAAATTTCATATACTCAAACGCACGGTTAATACGATGGAGTGGAGTGGATGGGCGGGTCGCAAAAACTGGGAAGGCGTTTGAGACAAAAACGCATTTTGATAAGCGGCTTACGCGGCAGCCCACGCATGCCAAGGGCGGGCTGTGGGCGTGGCAGTCAGACTTTTGCCACAAATGGCAGAATTTGCGACAATTTTTCGGGGCAACTTTTATGGCGATAAGGATTTTTATATCATTTTTCGTTACTTTTGCTAATTGTCAGCGCACAGCCGCAGGCGACACCAAACTTTTTTGCTTTTACTCGTTCCCTTTCTCTGTGTGTGTGTTTTATTCGTTTGTGGCAACTTTAAAGTATAAATTAATTTCACTGTAAATGCGCATAATCAAGTGTGTGCGGCTCGAGTGGAATCGAGCAAAATGCAAAAGAGATAAAGGGATGCGCCAGTGCTGAGAAACGGCAGACGAGTGGCTTGGCATAGGCAGTCGAGGTCCACCTAAAGCACTCCATCAACGCCATGCGAAAACTTTTACTGCGAACGGACAAAAAGATGAAGTGCTTCGGCACAGGCTTGTCGAGATCGAGCCTCCGACTTTTAATGAAAAGGCAGTCTTGTCGGCGTGCCTGAGACATTTGACTGAAAGCAAAAACGAATGGAGAGTCGGCTAATTGAAAACTAAAATTGGAAAAAGTCCGCTTGAGTGCAGAAGTGTAATCGAATGACAGGGAATGTTGAATGCAACTCAAGCGAGACTCAAGAAAAAGTCTATTCAGCATGTCTGTCTCAGTATTGGGGTGAATATTACATATACGCCAGGTATACAAGGAAAATACTATAGACTTTAACCCTATGCCAAATTTGTTTTCATAATTGACTTTTAATAAAATATAAGACTACAATATTTTAAAAATTATATGAAGGCAAAAAAAATTGCTGTATATTAGTTTTGGTAAATATCACACATACGTCATGTTGGCTTTGTATTGCTTTAAACTGTGACTGCGCTCAATTGGGAAATGCATGGTGAATAATATATTATGTTATACTATATTATATATTACTATTAAAAATTGAAATCTGAGGATTATGTTAGTTATTTAACCAGGATATTTGAGTATTAAATACCTGCTTAAATATATGCAACAGAGTCTGTTAGAGTCTGAGAGAAAACTCGGAAAGCAAACGTCTGCTTCGGTTATTCAACGAGTTCGTTCGCGATCGGCTTTTGGCTTTTGTTTTATTTCACTCTCATTGTCTTGAGCATGTATTGGAATTTATGCGAGGGCTCTCCTCGCTAAACACATTGATGGAGTACATGAATTGAAGGTGTGCATGTCTATGTGAGTCAGAAGACCATTTGAATTGAGTCGTTGACTTAGTTGACTTAGTCTGAGTCTCGTTGTGCGAACATCAATCGTATCTCTCTCAAAACGATCTTCGTGAAAAGAGATCACACGAATAGTTCAACTCGAAGCGCTCAAGGGAAAATAAAAACGAACAGAACCGAAGTCGCTTGCTCAGAGCGAGAGTTAATGAATATGATTTATAAAAATATATATACATAAAATATATATACATTTCATGAGCACTATCAATAGTGATAGTTGCTATATATTTCGTTTATAATATAACACTATATAAACCAACTGTACTTTAATCAATTCTACATGAAATATATGTAATACAAATTATTCTAAAATTATTATCTTTTTTTTTTTTTTTTAAATGCACAGAAATAACAAAACTCTCAAAGAGACGGTAGTTAAGTTATTGACACTGTATACATTTTGTTGATTATCTTATCAAGTTTACATATATACATAATTATTAACTTTCATATGCTGCTTTGTCAGCTCTTGCATTGACCAATGCAGGACTCGTCCGTACTCAACTCATTTGAATCAGGCCAATAAACTTTTGCTCTCAACATATCCGCAATAACAATAATAAGCTCTTAATCATGGCGAACAATTGGTTTTTCCCACCGCAGAAAACTCAGTGGCTGCACAGCCGGTCAGGGCCCTCCTCATAATCTATGCTAATTTTCGCTGCCTTTATGCCCAGCGAACAGTCGGGCGGTTTTTATTTCATTGGGCATAAAAAATAAAAGCGAGCTGGAATTAAAATTAATGAGGTTGAGAAGGCGGAAAACAACTTCACGAGCACCAAACGCAGCCAGTTCTGAAATGCGAAAAATAAAGTAGAAAATCTTAATCGTGATCTTATTACGGGCGTTAATTACGCAACACAGAACACAGGCAACAAGAACAACATGGAATACACTTAAAAAATAGAAGAGTATAATGGTACTTGTGACTATTTAATGCTCTATTCGCAGCTGAATTGATGCGACTTTATATGCTAAAAAAGAAAATAGTTTTAATGCAGTTACTCAAAGAAGGTCACTAATCTATATAAGCAGTTAAGTATACGTATATAGACAGTGAAATATATTTATTTGCTCATTTTTATAGTCTCTCTTAATTTTATACTCAAGTTTATTCTTAAAACAATTTGTTGCAGAGTATAAAACAAGAAAATGTAAGCAAGATTCCAACATGCCACAAGATTCAACTTCAGCTATATGCTGCAGCCTGGAAAATTAAGTTGTCCGCTTGTGCCAGATATCCAGTTGAAAAGCAAGCGAAAGCGAAAGAGAGAGAGGGGGAAAGGGTAAACAAGAAAAAAAAAAAAACATAAAAGAAAGGCAACTAGCGAGATGGTGAAATTAAGAAAATAGACGGCACATAGATAAGCAACTGCTATGTACTGCACTTTCCCCCTGCCACTGTTACTGTTGTTGTTGTTGTAGTTGTTGTTGTTGCTGCTGTAGTTGTTGATGCTGTTGCAGCTGTACAAGTTTTATGACCCATCACGTAACAGCGCTGCAAGAGGCCATTTTTCATTAGAGCAAAACAATGAACCGCATTTTACATGAGCTCAACTTAGATTAGCGATAGCTGAGAGAACAACATACTTACTATAATAAACGAGAGCCTGTTTAATCAAGAGCTCAACTATAAAAAAATTACAAAAAAAATGTAAGTCAGAGTGCAATTTGTGCAGTACTTGC